TTGGGATAGTTAAAAAAGGTTAAAGACATCCCATATTTGACCTTAGTACAGTATTCACGAAAATTTTGGTAAACGTAACATCATCTTCTAACAAATCATACACTTATTTAAAAAAAAAAAGCCCAGGCTCACTTACCAAGGAAGCACAAACCTAGATCCGCCGCTTGTTGTTGTCGATGGCTCCGCCTCAGGCGTCGGTCATCGGATCTCTTATCGACGACAAATGATGTTGTCCTCTCCTCTTGATTCAGCGTACATGATTCATCTTCCTGTCAGCGTCGTTGCTCCACTCGAAGCTCCAAATTCTGGAGGTTCTCCTCTCAACGTAGGCGATAATATGGATTCCATTGCAGTGCCTTGACCTCCCTTCGTCCCTTCTCTAGGAGGAGCATGGATGAAGCCGCCTAAGCTTATCTCGAAGTTGGATTCGTGTACTCAACTTCCTCCACCTGTTCATTCGAACAAAGATATACCTCCACAGGCTCCTAAGGAGGACGGACAACTTCGATTCCCGTGGGCAGCGAAGATGAACCCAAAGCTTCGAAATATTCACCGTAGAACATCCCTGGCTTACTTAGAAGATGGTAGGCCTCTGATAGAAATCTCAAACCATGTCTTGTTACAAGGGGTCGAGAACCAAAAGGAGTATATAATTGGTCAATTCTTCCGCTGCAAATCGAATTTGGGCTACAACACCTGCTGTAACAGCTTGTGAAGTTGTTATTGCTGCAGCTACAAGTACTGATGCTTCTCATATGGATCTTCCTTAATTCCTACTGATACTCCCATTGGAGTAGCTACTGACACTAAAATCGCATTTGCTGCTGCACAAACTGTAACTACACTTGCCTCTCCATGTGTAGTGGCAGAACCGTCAACCCCTACTTCAACGTTTATTCCTCCTCTTGATACGGTAACACTCTGTACTACCACTATGTCGGATTCATTGGCTAATGAGTTTGAAGATAATGTTTTTAGTAGCATGTGAAGGATAATAAAACCTACGCTAAAACTCCAAGAGATGGAATGGACGAATTGGTGGAAGGAAAGAAACTTAGATGACGTGGCAGCCACGACTCTTCATCTTTGTTTCTCTCAAAAGCTATCTAAAGATCTCCTTCAACACGCGCGATCGTCTTGGTTTGGACATTGGTTCAACACCTTTCCACAGCTTCCACATTCTAGAAATAGATTTGTTTTTTTTTTGCAATTTCTCATATGTTTGTTCCAAATATATGCATTCTCTCAATTGTAAGATTTATCTAACAATTGTAAAACTCTTGTTATTTGTTACCTTTAAATAAGTTTTTCAAAACAAAAAAAAAAATCTTCTTTTTTTTTTTATCATTCAACTTTCAACAAATCTTAGTCCCCCAAAAAAAGAAAAGTCTCAACCCTAAAAAAACAAAGTAGTCACTTTCATTAGTTTCACTCTTTGATTTTACTTACGGCTTTTGTTTATTTATTAGTCAACATGTCACTTCAAAGCCTAATGAATTCACTGAATACATTAGGTGAATTCTCTCACCCACTCAAAGAAAATGAAATCTCGGTATATACACCGTTCGAGAAATATATTTAAACGGGGTAAAGCATCATTTCCAAAAAATTTTGAAGTTGGAGCACAAAAAGTAAATTTGTTATGCTAACCACTAAACCACCACACATTTTGATCAAAGTTGATTTGAATTGTCGTTGCAGTTGTTTTTGCCATCTTTGCCTTAATTACATACCAAATATTCCTAGCACCATATATTCTATAAGGCTTCAAAAATATACTGTCGATAGCTAAGCCTTAGACCATTCATCTTCATGTAGAGTAGGCCTTATGTGAAGGGAAAACGATTCAATATGTAAGTCAAACTTATGAGAGAGCCTCACAGAGATGATGGAAAGTTATGGTTCGGATCCGTTTTCTCACTTGCCGTTTGGGTTCTTGATCTCAAGTTAGTAACCGCATGTGTTTTTTGGTTAACCGTAGTTATTTTTTTTTTGTATAATCTGAAAGTTTAGATCTAAACTATGAATTTTGTGGATCTAAATCAGTTTTTAATCTATTTATTTTGGGAATATCTTTTTTCGAAAGAGATTGAACTAAAAACATATTAAAACCAACTCTATGTGCTAACCGGTAGTCTATCACACATTTGATTACCAATAATGTATTTTCAATTAGTGGATTTGTTTAAAATATAAATTTATTAGACCATAATAGAAATCTCTTGATTAATCACTGAATATTTATAAACGTAGCAAAATGGTTAACAGAATATAAAAACTTTGATTTTCTGTTTTATTTTTTTTATTCCATCCGTTTCAAAATGTAAATTGTTTTGGAGATTTTTTATTGTTTCAAAATGTAAGTTGTTTGGACAATTCTATAAACTTTTTAACTTTATTGAATATTGTATGATTACTAGTATTTTACAGTCTTTTGTATGATTAGTCAAATTATTTTTATTAAATATGTTAATTGATATTTTTAATAAAAAAATAGTTTTTTAATATCCTTGATTTTAGTTAAAATTTATATTTTAAAATGAAGGGAGTATAAACTAATGTTGATCTGTTTCGTTTTGTTCTGTTTATTCTTCTATCGATCGCATTTACAAATAGTTGTTCCAGCTTTTCCCTCCACTCGTTCCACTCGATATTTTAAAGCTCCACAAGAGATGTCAAAATTGAATTGAACACCTCATTATGATGTCGGTACTAATTTCACAGCTCACCCACATTTTTGGTAATATGAATAAAAGTCTCTCCAAAAAGCAAATTGGATTCATATATTCAATTTGATTTGGTTATATTGTATTCTGAAAAAAAAAGAAAAAAAGGGTCCTACGAATAATTCATCCTTTTTCTCATATATGTTTTCTTTTAAAGAAACCTATGGGCAAAGGTAATTGGTAGAACATTAGAAAAACGCCAAAATGTAGTGGACAACACAAACATAAAATGCCAATATGTTGTGTTGAATCATTTGAGAGGTTTAGCCTTTTTTCCTTCTTCTTTTGTTAGAAAAGATTGGCAATTTTGCAGTTTAATAGAGATAGATTTTTAGAAGATTTTTAGCGTGAGACAATGTAGAA